CTCCGTCTTTGTGCGGCGGAGGTCATCCCCGTGCTTCCCAGCCAGTGTCTGCAGCTCCTCGTACTGCAGGGGTAAAACAAGGAGTGAGGTTGAGAGGGGCCTGCCTGATCCATCCAAGGGCGGGTGCCCTCTCAGCCAAGCCACCAGAACCCAGGTCATCTCGCCCCCCCTCCTCTCCACACACACCACGGAAGGCCTTCCTCCAGACCTCCGGGCACGGGGACATCCCTGTCCCCCAGAACTACTCGGCAGCCCAGCTTACAGCAGGCAGAGTAGCGTCTGAAATCCTGTTTCCTCCGCAAGAACTAGGGCACAGAACTGGCCAGAAAAGGAGCGCCAGCCTAGAGACCCTGATCTCACCTTGATCTGGTACATGGTCTCGGCCTCGGCCCGGCTGCGGTTGGCGATGTCCTCGTACTGGGCCTTGACCTCAGCGATGATGCCATCCAGGTCCAGGGAGCGGCTGTTGTCCATGGACAGGACCACAGACGTGTCCGAAATCTGCGACTGCATCTCACGGATCTCCTGTGGTGGGGAGGGAAGGTGATGAGGCCTCAGCCCCGCACATGAGGAGCCCCCTTTTGCAGAAAGGCTTTCCATAGAGGACAAGACGGGGGCCCGCAACAGAGGAGAAGCAGTGGGGAGTGAGGGCCAGGAAGAAGGCAAAGTTCCTGAAGGAGGAAGATGGGTCAAAGACCTGAAACCTGGAGAGAAGTAAAGATGAACTGAGGCCAGAATAAGAGGAAACCTGGCTTGGGGTGAGTAACCAGAGGGGCAGAGCCCTTCCACCGTCTCAGCTACCAGTATGGCACCCTATGGCACCCACAGAAGGCTCCCACACAGCCCAAAACCTCGGAACGAAGGCCCCAAGGACAGAGAAGTCCTGAACCGGCCTGTGTCACCACTCCAGTGACCGTGGACAGGCCATTTCAGTTCTTTGAGCCCATTTTCTTCTCTCTGAAATGGGGTAACAAACCCTCCCTCCTCACGCAGGGGCCAGAACACATAGAACAGCCACGCTGGGTTAATATTGGCAGCTCTAATTATTCAGTGGTGGCCCTCATCTGCGGGTGCACTGGGGGCTGGGAGGAGCCTTTGAAGGGACAGGGGAACCTCGGTCACCAGCACCAAGAACATACCTCTTCATACAGCTGCCTGTAGAAGTTGATCTCATCAGTCAGCCCTTCCAGGCGGGACTCCAGCTCCACCTTGTTCATGTAAGCTTCATCCACATCCTGCGGGGCAGTGGGGAGAGGAGCCCGAGTGAGCGCCCACACCTGACCCCAACCCAGGGGCACCCAATGGCCTGGACTTAGAACCTCCTAACTAATTGCCTACCTCACTTTGTGGCCTGGTCCAGTCCAGTCTCTGCCCCATCACACGCACATCCCCAGCCTAGATACCTTTTCCCCTCTTCCTCCTCCAGGAAGCCTTCTGGAGCCAGACATCCAAATCTACTCCATTTCCTTAACCATGTCCCAACAGCAATGTCCAGAGTTCCGTCCAAATGCACCCAACTACTTCTCAGTCCTTGTCTGTCTTTCTATGCCAGATACTTAGGAGGTACCCAAATGTTGTCCCATTACTTAGTATTTCAGGAAAGAACCCAGAAAGCCTCCAGTGTCTGGTGGGGGTAGGGGTACCTCCTCACCTTCTTGATGATGACAAATTCATTCTCCATGTCTGTACGCTTTTGGATCTCATCCTCATACCTGGGGAGGAAGAGACTTAGAATCAGAGGATGAAGGCAAAGGTGAGGTTACCATGAGTCTTTGGAGGGGAGCAAGAATATCTAGAAAATTCGGTTAATGGAAATGCAAGAAGATATGAGATGGCTGGTCTGCTGCCCCAGCCAGCTACTCTCTCCCCATCTTTACCCCCCATACTATCATCAGCCAGTGGGGAGGCCTGGAGCAGGAACTCTCTCTCCAAAGCCATGAATACACATTGCTCTAGGCATAATAGTCATATTAGAGGGTTAGCAACAGGGACTGACATGAGATCTCAAACAGAACTTTCTGGAATGAGCTGGAAATCAGGGGTAAGGAAGAAATAGGAGCCAGGGCTGTTAGTACACAACAGAGGCCTGTTGGCTACCTCTCACTCCCATCTTAGGTTTACTATGTAAACATTAATAGATAATTTGTTGTCCAAATCTGGACAGCTCTGAGATTGAAGGGGGAGGGGAGGTGCTACTAACAATTACACTGGGACAATGGGTGTAAACCTAGACTGTCCTGAGAAAGCCTTGTCCTGCAGTCACCTTAGTTATATAGGACTGCACTGCCCAACAAGCAGAGGGCCCTCGGGGCTTCGAACTCTGGTCCCAAGGGGTGGGTGTGGGGCAGGGCAGGATGACTTCAGGTGGGGAGATGGCAGTGGGGAGGAGGCGGCGGGGAGAAGGGAGGCTCACTTGTTCTTGAAGTCCTCCACCAGCCCCTGCATGTTGCCAAGCTCCACCTCCAGCTTCAGTTTCTCCTGGCCCAGGGTGTCCAGCTGCCGCCGAAGGTTATTGATGTAACTCTCAAACATGTTGTCTATGTTGCTCCGGGCTGTCTTCTGCTGCTGCAGGAGGTTCCATTTGGTCTCCAGAATCTTGTTCTGCTGCTCCAGGTGCCGCACCTGCATGAGGAAGTGGGTAACACAAAGGTCCACATCAGGCCAAGGCTCAGGGTCTGGGGTGAAGCCAGCACTCTTTTCCCCTCATCCACTCCCCAAGCACTGGGGGCTCCAGAACCCAGGGGCCTGGTTAGCCGTTCTGGAAGGATCACCTATGATCTGAGAGAGATAGCATGGTAAGTAGGGTCAGGAGCCATGTCCCTCTAGTGCTGGGCTTTGGGAAGACAAGGGGCATACATGGTTGGAAAGGGATAGCTAAGAGTTATGTGGAAGCAAATGGGTCTTACTGACTTATATTGTATATTACAGGTCAATAAAAATAGCCAGGTTTTGATTAATACTTGATATATAATTGAAAAAGAAAATGTAGATTGTTCATATCCAATTGTATTATCATCATCACTATTATCTGGAGTGACTTTGAGGGACTCGTAGCTTAAAGGGAAACTTTAGCCCTACATCCTGGAGAGCCTTGGCCAGAAGACCTAGGATTTAGCCAAACACTACTACTGACCTGAGCTGCATAATTTTGAGTTGCTTCCCTTCTCCGAGCCAGCCGGAGACTCCTCAACCCTGCAATGGCCTGGAGGAACTCAGGCAGACCTTATCAGGAGGCCCATCTCTGGGCAGAAGTCACTTTTTGCCCGGAAGAGGGAAGAGAGAGGTAGATCTGTCTGCAAACTGAAGACTCCCTCTTCCCCACCTTTGAGATTCTCAACATCCCACCCCCACCCCAAATCCACAACCCTCTCCTCTTGCCCCAAACACAAAGGTCCTAGGTTCCTTGGGTTCGAGGAATCCAGATTTTAGGATGAAATGAAGGCATGTTGGAAGGGAAGTTTTTAAACAAAAGACTACACCACTTCCAAGAAGAGTAATGCATTTTTCTTCATCAACCCAAAGTTGCAGCTTCTTTTATTTCCCCCCTCCCCCTTAATGGAGGCACTGGGGATTGAACCCGGGACCTCATGCATGCCAACCATGCTCTATACCCACTACTCCCCCATGAAATTTCTTTTAAATTGAAAGGACTCAGAAGAAAATATGTTTTAAGGGTCTGGTCTAGATCCAGTAAATCCCTCTGTAAATTGGTTTCTTCTCCAGCTCATTCTGCCTCAAGATTATTTTTTTAAAAATATTAAGTGGTTGTAATATTTAGCCTTATGCTTAATGTGGGCCAAGCACTGCTAAGCTCTTTACATGCATTATATGCTTGAATAGGCGAGACCTCTTGGATTTAGGGATTAACATGCCCATTTTATAGATGAGGAAATCAGATTTAGCAGGTAGCCCAAAGAAAAGGCAGAGCACTGGGAACCAGGACATCAGACACAGCCTGTGCTGAGCTACTCACTGGGAGGACCCCAGAGCTAGGAAAACGCAGTCAAGAAGTCAAGTCAAGGGTGCTTAAAGCCAAGGAACCTGCAAGCCCTCTCCAAAGATCAGAGGGCGGGTTTCCTGGTCGACTCCAATTCCCGAGGGCGCTAATCTGCCCCAGAATTTCCCTGCTTCCGCTCCCGCAACACCTCCCAGGAGCCCGTCAGCAGGCAGGGACCTGATCCTCCAGCGCTGGGGGCCCCACCCCGGGGGCCCTAAGGCAGCAAACCCCCAAAGCTGCAAAACCCGGCCTGGCTCCTTCCCTGGTAAAGTGGAGCCAAGCCTTTGGGGCAGGGCCAGGGTAGGGAAGGGGGACCAGGGCCAAGAGGGGAGAGGGGCGTTGGCCGACGGATGCCTTATCTGAAGTCGTAACTCTGGGGTTTAACAGGACACCAAACCCCGGGTGGGGTGTCCCACGCCCGCAGACTTTGAATCCTGGATAGGCTTTCCTGAAGCCAGCACTGGCGTCCTCGACCCCACCCTACCCCACCCCACCCCCCTCACCCAACCCCGACACACATCCCCTCCAACCCCAGATGCAAAGAGCTCCCCAGGTAGAAGAGCAGGTGGCCAAGACGGCAGGCCTCAGTCCCTCACCCCACAGCTCGGCCCTGCCCACCCCGCCGGCTCCCGGGGGCCCCC